TCCGGGGAAGATTCTGTGATCTGCTCTCCCTCTCCATAAAAGGAGAAAGTGCCACTGCCTGGTTGCCATAATACAAGGAACCTTTGCAACTGCTTGTGTACTCTACGTGTTTCTGAATACTGCTTGTCTATTTTTCCATATACTACCATAAGCCTCAGGCCTGGCGACTATTTCTAGCTGGTGATGGGTATCTTCTGCAAAGACAGAAATGCTCAGCAGGGGTTCATAGGTAAACATGGCATCATTTAATTAAACAAAGCAGCAACCAAACAACAGTAACCTGGCTTTTAACTCTGAGTCACAATGATAACCCAGGAAGCCTTAAATATAGGAAGTGATTGCAGCCTTAAAGGTGCACTAGCAGACATCCCAAGATATTTTTAAAGGATGTTTTGTTTTCTTGAGTGATAGTATGGTTCAGAAAACTATCTTGCCATAGCAAGCAGTAGAACGAAGTAATTTCTAAAGATTCCTACATGGGATTGTTTAAACCATAGGGTTGTTACTAGACTATGAAGAAAAAGAAAGCCAGAAAATCAGTATTTTGAGGAGCGGGGAGGGAGTATAAAGAGGTAGCAAGCATTGCAACTTTCCTGGATGAGAAATAGAATGAACCAAACCTGAGGTATGCTGGCACAGCCAGTACTGTACATATGCATAAATGCTATTGGCATTTGTATTAGTCCTGAACAAATGTCCTACTTGGACATTGCAACTGGATAAAGACTTTTCAGTACTTCAGTCTCACTTCCGCAGATAATGTTTGCAGGAGCACCTACCTTCTCTCCATGCAGTAGATGGTTTCAAACATTGTGCTAAACTACAACATGGTTTATTGGGGTGCAGTGGGGTGGGGGAAGGATAGCTCTATTTATGAAACTTGCCACTATGGTTTATTCAAGAAACCAGCCTAGCCGTTCCATAAAACTCACCCCTTAATGATCACATTGGTATAATATGAGTAGAAAGTTGAAAGGATTATTTTAATGGAATACTCAGAAGCTTGAAGATGATGGTAGGGCAGTAAGCCACTAAAAGGGGAGGGTGGAGAGGATATTTATTCACAGTGGGATCTAACCTGACTTTTGAACAATGCAAATGCACATTCAGATTTGTTGCAATAGCCCCTGGTGCTTTAAACCTGAGCTAATAACAGGGCAATCAGAGCAGTGCCTGTTTCTGTGTGTGTTTTCCCAGTTGCTTTGTTGCCAGATTGAATGTGTCAATCCATACCAATAACAGCACCCTACATGACTTGGTTTTTTAAAATATATGTAGGGCATAAGCAAGCTCCTAATTACTATGCTAAGATTTGCCAGGTTAATGCTTGCTTCCTTCCCCTAGGCATCCTGCATGCATAATTACCTTCTTGCATGCTGTTATCTTGTGCAATGTTAGTGCCTCATTTCTTAGGTGAAAGAGAGTTCATTATTGTTATCCTTCCTGGATTCACCTTCCAGTTTGGTTTCAGCAGAAACCAACACCTTCTCCATAGCTCCTTTTTCTCTCCCTTTAAATCAAGCATAGCAAATACAACTCTGTAACCAACATCCCAGTTTATCTTGATACAATTTGTTTTTCCTTGTTTATAACTCTGATTTTTTTTTTTTTGACGGGCATCTTGGGGACCATAAGACTTGGTAGATCTACAAATGGGGATTTGCAGGCAGAAATAGAGCTCTGCACTCCCATGTCTCCTTGTTCTTGATGTAGAGCCCCCTCCTGCCTTTATAACAGGAAGAGAGCATTTTGTGGCAGATTCCCCCAGTACAGCATTTCTCAACCTTGGCAGCTTGAAGATGTGTGGATGTCTGCTCCCAGAAATTCTAGGAGCTGAAGTCCATGCATCTTCTAGCTGCCAAGGTAGAAACAAGAAACATTCTTCCAGCATGTGGCCGGAATTAAGAGGAAAATCCCCAACTCTAGAAGTAGAATTAGCATTTTCCCTCCAAATGCACTCCTTCCAAACTTCCATTCTGCTTGTGAGATGGGTGGCTATATAAATTTGATAAATAAGTAAATAAAATATTTATAGATTGCTTATTACAATGTGTATGGTACAAAATAGAATATAAGTATAGACCTGATAAACCCTGAGCGCAGTTTCTTCACTCATAATTTACAATCCTCACCAGAATAGCCTGATGACTCTAGTTTTGCCCCAGTTCAGATGATGCTGGTCTTGTTTACAGTAATCCCCAGGCCATGATTCATTCAACTTTATCCCTCTGTTTTCTGTACTGCAAAACACTGCAGCTGTCAAACACAGAAGAAAGGGAAGAAGTTCGGGGCAAGGTATATGCCAGCAGTGGCTTCTAGATTCCATTAAGGACTACTCTTACATTATTCTTACCAAACTGGTGTGCATTCATAGGTTCATGCTGAGTCACCCTCCTTTTACCTTAAAAAAATAGGAGTAACATAACTTACCTCTGATTCAGATATGGATATGAATCATGGTTTCTTCCCACATTGTTAATTATGATAATGATTTAACATTCTGCACCTATTAATAAAAATATTGAAAGATGGTATTCTAGTGCATGCTTTGCTATCCTGGCACTGTACTTTTTAGTACAACACTCTGAATTCCCAGTCATAATTCTGGGAGTCATAGTCCTATATATCTAGCTGGAATCAGGTTGGAAAATCTTCTCAAGGAACTTTTTAAAGAAGGTCTATTTTAAGCATGAGTGAGCAATATCAGGCATCTCTTTCCATGACATTGCTGAAATCACAGCATCTATCGATTTAACTTTTCATCTTTTGAAGAAATTGATATATTGCTGACTAGCTTCCACAAGTATGACACTATGATTCTGTGGAAAGGAGAAATCAAACAAAACATAGTACAATGAAATCTTGATTTAGGAGATCTCATACACTCGGCTTTATATACAATGTAATGAGTTTCCACTTTACAAGATTTATGTATAATGACATAATTACAAACTAATCAGATGTATCATTTGCATAAGGATATCATTACCCAGTGATGCAGCTTTTTCATAATGATGTAATCAGGCAAATGACATAAATCACAATGACTTTATTTAATGGATATTTGTGAATAATGGACACCCCCTCCCCCAAACAGTCCATTTAAACAAAGTTCACTCTAATCCCTCTTTTGACTCTTAACACAAAACCTGAAGAGAAATTACTGTCTTTCTTCCCTCTTTCCTCAGAATCATTCCTGAAGACTAAAAAATAAATAAATAAAAATCTGTCTCTTCCCTGGATTACTTCATGGTAATTTGCACCTGGAATATATTCATGCCTGGTCTGATTAATATTAATCCACTGTTTTTGGATTGGATTATTTTCCTATTGAAATCCTTGATTTTCACAAGAAAACTCACCACTTTAGAGTAACACTGAAGTGTTATATAGCATAGTGATATTTTTTTATGATCATCCATATAAACGCTCACCCACAGTCATCAAGAACAGAAATAGGATTAGTAATAGTCCATTGACGACAAGAGAAGTGAGCCTTTTGTGCTAGTTTTCACATACACATATCCAACTTTATTTTCAATATTTCCAAGAGGCTTCTCTAGAATTCTTCCTAATTACACTTTTATCTCTATGAATCATTTGCCCAAGCATATGTGCCAATACTAGCATTTTTCTACTGAAAACAGAAGCAGCCTCTGATGACTCAGTCCTGTTTTTTTCCCCCCCTATTTTCCATAAGTCAGCACCAGACTGCTGACAGAAAGCAGCAGAACTGTTAGCTAGTACCTAGGAGAGTCTCCAAAATGGGGAAGATGGCTTTGTTTCAAACCCAGAACAAATTACTGTGATCTGAAAGTTTTCTCAAACCATTTTGGATCAACCACAATTTAGCAGAAATGAAACCAGTGAATTTTGGTTGTTCTGGGTTTGGATGGAACCAGATCTAGACAGGTAGGAAGTGCAAGGTTACTGCACATTGACCCTCTCTCTCTTCCACCCCACAATAGCTGCCAGTGTGGTATATTCCACCATCCAAATTGTACCTAATCTTCCCAGTAAATGTCATCTGGAGCTATTGACAGTATCCGAGAGGGAGGGAGAGCAATGTAATATGCTGCATTGGGAGTTGCTGAGGAGAGAGAAAGGGTAGCATGCACCAGCCTTGCACTTGCCCCCTTCCCTCCACTACCACCACCACCACCAATGTTGTTGGCTTTTTTCCCTCTCTTCCTCCCACCTGAACCACATCTGCCTGGAATAGCCCTGTTTCAGACAACACATGAACCCAAACAACCATATTTTGTTCCATGCACAGACCAAAACGTGCAAGCTTGGGTTCAGACATTTTCCACACGAAGGCAACTGATCTGTACAAAGGATGGTTTATGTGCAGAACATTTTGCACATCCTTGGTGATATACCTAGAGTATCACCTACCTATATGAACTGACTTTAGATCAAGTAATTAAATAATATATAAAATAAATCAGTCATTCAGTTAGGCCAGCTAGTTAATATAGCTCAGAAAAGGCAATCACACAATGGCTCAGGATGAGAAAGTGATGACAAGTGGAGCCACTTAGAGCAAATGGTAAAGGATTTCTCCACCCTAAAGAACCTTCACATGCACTCCAAGATGATGATATTAGAGCAACCAAAGGTGGCTTGATCTCTAGAATGACAGAAAACTTGTTAATTGATATTAAATATATTCTTCCTCACCATAGCATTTTACATAAAAATAAAATAAAATGCAGCATCCTGAAGCTCCTGAAAATCAAATTTCAACCATAACTCGACTGAATCAGAATACAGTAGGGTTGGACCTATCCACTCCAGCCTGGGAATTGAAAATGCAGTCTAAACTACTTCAGGATCCAAGTTCTGGTGGAATGTGAAATACAGTCCTAGTAGAATCCCTGAAGATTTTGAATCTGCTCTTTGACATTTATCTCAATTCAAGATTAAGATAAATGTTCTGTCTATGCTGGAATGATGATCATGTCTGACCATAACTTATTCTTTATTCTTACCTATAGTAAATGAATCCGATTGTTATGTGACCTTGTGGCTTCCTACTGCCTCACCAGAAAAGGTTCGGACGAAAACAGTTGCAAACTGCAAAGATCCAATATGGAATGAAATCTTCTATTTCAGGATCCAGAGTCAAGTCAAGGTAAGATGAAAGATGCCGAGTCTATATTTCTGCCCTTTTAAGTGAGTCAGGAAAACAGTCTTTGTGTATTTGTTGTTGTTCTGCATTTTCATTATTTAGCATCCATTCCTTTTCTTCTCAGTCTCATTCACTTTAAATTGCACACTGAGCAGTCAATTTCTAGATAATCCTTCCAATGCAATGACCTTTTACAAAGAAAGTTGCTTCCACCATGCAGCAGGCTTGTTCTTTGTTTATATATATTGTATTGTGGTTCTCACTTCTCTGAATGAGTCTACGATTTGGGCTCAGAGTATTTACCCTGCACTAGTTTCCTTTGGAAGGAAATTGCTAGAGGATGGCATTTTCTTATCATTTTTCCCACCCGTCTCTTCACTTTTGCCATTTGTCCACCCATTTCCATCAGTCAGCCTTTGCTACACTGGTTAAAGAATATGGGACAGACCAACAAAACTTGGAGAAAGTAGGTTGGGGAAGGTTGGTTTTGCAAATATATAGATTGGATCTCAGAACAAACAAAGCTCCCATATCTTATTTCAGATTTCTAGGTAAACAACCAATACTTAAAGATGCTTCCAGGGTTTAAAACGTGGTGTTCTCTTTTCCCAAAGTGCAATTTTTGTAAAAACAAGCAAACCACAAAGATGGCTGGTGTGGGTCTTCCAGGCTGTGTGGCTGTGTTCAGGAAGTTTTGTTTCCTAATGTTTCCCCAGCATGCTGGCGAAATGTTAGGAAACAAAACGTTTTGTTTCCTAATGTTTCCCCAGCATGCTGGCGAAATGTTAGGAAACAAAACGTTTTGTTTCCTAATGTTTCCCCAGCATGCTGGCGAAATGTTAGGAAACAAAACGTTTTGTTTCCTAATGTTTCCCCAGCATGCTGGCGAAATGTTAGGAAACAAAACTTCCAGAACACAGCCACACAGCCCGGAAGACCCACACCAGCCATCGTATTCCGGCCGTGAAAGCCTTTGACAATACAAACCACAAAGACTTAGACTAGGACAGGGGGCTCTGGGGAGGAGAGGAAAAGGGAGGAATGCCTCCTTCCCTGATCTTTAAAACAAAAACAAAAACAGGACATCCCAGTTGTAGTTGTAGTAGTAGCGGTAGTAATTTTTCAGCCATGGGATCTTGATGCTAAGAAAGTAGTTCTATGACTAAGTTCAGGTGAGAATGTCTTTACATAAGCACATTGTGTCATCCTGTTGGGAGGGAACATGTATTTTGCTTTTGTCACCTAAGGCTGAACAAGATAAACACTTGCTTTCCCCCCATTCTGTGATGCTGTGCTTCAGTCATAATGAAATTCATTTCTGTCTCCAGAATGTCTTGGAACTGACAGTATGTGATGAAGATTTCTTTCGAGATGATGACAACCGTGTAATTTTCTTCGATATAGCTACAATCCCATTTGGAAAATCAATAATGGTGAAATTTGAATTGGATCGCGTGGTGAGTGTGAATAAATACAGACCCTTCCTGTTGTCTGGGAATGATGGGAAATCAAGTCCAATAAATCTGAAGGGTATCGAGATGTGGAAGATTGATCTAGACCAGAGATAGTAAACACATATTGTCTCTTTTGAGAGGCGCTATTGAAGGACCAACATGGTTTTGTCACAAGGACCACAATAGAAGAAAGCAGTCATTTTATGGAAAGTCCAAAGAGAGATTCAGTGTTGATCCTTAGAATACTTCTGCCTTTTCAAGGCTAAAGTAGGTACAATGATAACAATGCAGGCTGTCCATTGCAATGCAAAATGAGGCAAAATGAGGCAAAAAAAGACCCTCAAAAAGTGAGTCTATCAGGGAGGGAGATAGACAGAAGGCAAACTAAACACCTAGATCGTCTGACATAATTCCAGATGTCTGGCCACCCTATGTGGGAAATTGAATGCTGGACTATATAGGATTTTGGACTGATCCAGAAGGACTCTTCCACTTTGAATCAATCTGCCAAAAGCACAATGTCTACTTTGACTTTAAGTTTCAAAAGAGTTTTTCTTTTCTATAAAAACCACAACAGCAACCAAACTTTCTATCACATTTTGATTGAAATGGACAGGCTGGACCAGATTCTGTTGTTTTAAGAACTGGATTTCAAGCTATTGGATTACAGCAAATATTTGGTCTGAATGCTGAATTTTACAAAGCAGTTGATCTAATTGTTAGTAGTCCATTAACTATGCAGATGAGGGGAAACGATGATGCTGTTTTAAGGAAAGTATCGAATGCCCTTTCATGTCTCTTTTTTCAGTGAGCATGTTTTTTCACTGAAAGAAGATGAGACTTGAGAAAAATTCTTATGTGATAGGTAAAAGGAGGTCCCTGGTTACTTGCAGAGGTCTGTCATATGTGTTGTATTTTAATTTTCAGAAAAATGAAGAATTGGAAGTTGAATTTACATTGGAGAATATGTGAGTAATCCAAATAACATAGAAATAAATTATTGGAGAGTTCATAACAATACAAATGCAATATAAATAGCAGAGCATCTCATTTTGTTCATTTGCTTTCCATAAAAATCAAAAACATGTCATTCAAATAATAACACAGAATGTGTTGGTACAGAAAGTGAAGAAATGAAAACATTTGTAATGGGTGAAGTTATCGTTTCTTGCACAACAGATGCATGAGTCTCAATTCAAGTCCAGTTTTCAGAAATTAACTTTCTCTATTATGGTTTCTGCAAATTGGGGAGGAAATCAGAAAACTTCCATACAGTCTTGTTAATGTTTGCTTGCTTGCTTGCTTGCAACTCCAATCCCTCCAAATAGTTTACAGTCTACTCCAATACAAAGGTAAAACCATATAGCTTAGAAGCCATAAAGACTTTAAGGAGCAGCAATCGTGCAACAGCATGCAGCTCTCCTTGGATCACAAGGTTGGATCCATGTCCTACGATAGTTAATATCCCATCTCACAAATGCCTCTGGAAAAGCCAGGTCCTCAAGGGTATTCTAAAACTTAGTAGGGGAGGGACAATCCTTACATCTGGAGTCAAGAAAGGGACCATCACCAAGAAGGTTTGAGCACAGGATCCCTGAAGATGGCAATCCTTTGGCAGAGGAATCCTTAGCGAGCCTTCTTGCCCTGATCTCATTGGATGGGTAGATTCCATCCAGAGCAGGTGGTGTCGGAGTTACCCAATCCTAAGTCATATAGGATTTTAAAGGAGATAACCAGCACCTTGAATTGCATCTGGAAGCTAACTGGCAGTTACTACAGCTCCTGCTGGAAATATGCACAAGGACAAACCTCAGCACACCCATAACTACCCAGGCTGTCACACCCTGAACCAGCTGCAGCTTCATGTACAGAGAATTACATTAATTCAGATGGAAAATGATAAAAGCAAGAACTGTCAGCAATTTTTTTCTGTTGCAGCTAGTGCACCAGATATAATTATGTTAAAACCCTCTTGGCCACCACCTCCACCTACTGTTCTCATCAAAGAGGACTCCCAGATCATGAACCATGTCCATTCAGAGGAGTATCACCTATTCAGAGCTAAAGATGGAGTCAGCTGGCTTTCAAACCCACATCCATTCCAACTTGCTGAGATTAAGCTTTGATTGTTTTCCCCTAACAGCCTCCAGATACCAAGACAGGATCTCAGTACCAGGCGTTCACAGGATTGGCTTTGAATACTTGCTTTTCCCCTTGAGCTGAACCTGCTAGTACATTTTTTTTAATTATTCATCATCATCATCATCATATTTATAAAGCTGCCCATCTCACACAAGGTGACTCTGGGTGGCATAGAACAATTAAAAAGAATAAATACATAAAAACAATTACACATAAAAACTGTAAAAACACGCAAAATAGGAGGGTATAAAATTAATATGGGAGTCATCGCAAAGTCTCCCTGGTCCCCTGGGAGCCCCAGGCCTGATCACATAGCCAGGTCTTGAAGGACTTGCGGAATGCCAAGAGGGATAGGGCTAACCTCATTTCTGGGGAGAGAAGGTTCCACAAGGCGGGCGCCACGGCAGAGAATGCCCACCTCCTGGGACCTGGCAAATGTAATTCTCTAGCAGATGGGATCTGCAGCATGCCTTCTCTGCCAGACCTGATGGGATGGACAGATGTAATCGGGGAGAGGTGGTCCCTCAGGTAACCCAGCCCCATGCCATGAAGGGCTTTAAAGGTCAAATCCAGCACCTTGAATTGGGCCCAGAAGCAAACTGGCAACCAGTGCAGCTCGAAGCTTTTGCCCTTGAGCTGAACCTGCTAGTGCATTTTAATTAGTAGAAGTCAGAATGTTCTCCATCAGAACATAGAGTGACTAATTTATTTAATTGATGCCTGGCTTATAGCTGCTTGGCATACTGGCATGTGTATTGGTGTGAATTTGGAAGGCATTGACATCAGGAAATAAATACAATTTTTCCTGAAATGTATGGGCTAACCCTAGCTGCAACTGCTAAGCTGTAGCTCATGTCAAATCATTGTGTCTTTTAAAATTGTAATGCTATATCTGTATTTCTGTTTTCTAGAGAGGGTCCACTTGAAAAAATAGCTACAAATGGAGCAGTGGTGGTAATTCTTATTTATGCATTTGTTTATTTAATCCTTTATTTTACAATTAGAGAAATATGAACCTGCTCCATCTAGAGCAGGATTGTGCAATCTTTTTGGGGCCATTGGTTATTGAAAAACATGCCTTGTCTGTTCTCCAAGAAAGGAGGCAGAGTCTAGAAAGGAAGTAAGTGAAGTCAGGATAAAAATGAAATTTAATTTAATTTAATTTAATTACAAGAAAGCTAATTACACCAATTGATGTGATTATTTCCCATATATTTTATAATTTACCTTTTCTGTTGCATTAAAATTGCAATTTGTGGAACTTTTGAAGGCACTCCAGTGACTATGGTTAAACCTAGAATGGCTGCATGAGAATTTGGTTTGCCACATGAATTGATTCAATCCTATGTTAAAATGCCCACGTCACTTTATATATTAATGAACAAATTGTTGGAATTGCCCGTTCACATGGATACAGATTAAAACAGAAGAGGTTCAAATCTGTTATATATTAGGGCTATGGAGATATTTGAAGCACCGCTTAGATTTGATGAAGGGTGGAGCAAAGCACTTCTTCAAAGCTGCTTCGTGAAAAAGCTGCCCTTCTCACAGCAACTGTATTGTTTTACTTCATCTTCTTCTGGACCCTCTGCCTTCTCTTCTACAACCAGATGTTTGTTAGCTTTCACTTCTACATATGTATTTGTCATTTCATCCAGACTGCTGTTCTAATTAGTGTTTCCTGAATAAATATTCAGTGAAAGTAGGACCAACAGCTCAGAAATGCTTTCTGGTACCCATGTATGGTTTAACCCAGCCTCCTCTGGCATAAGTCCCTCCAGAGGTTTTTGACCATGACTTCCTAAAGCCCCACCAGCACAGCTAATGCTTGTCCAAGCATGAACATCCTGTGTGTGTTTTTTTGTACTAGCTTTTTAAACTCTGCCCTTTGAAAATATCCAACTGGCACTCCTAATTCACAAACCAATTTGATTCTTAGTAATACTAATTTCAGAACCTGTTCATGGGTGTTTATGTGTGTTATGTGTGTTATTTAGTAGAGTCAATTAAAAGCTTACTGATTCTAATGAATCAGGCTGTTAATCTATGTAAATATGTAACAATCTTTGGCCTGTGTTTCCATGCAGTGCAGATGCACGGGAAACCACAGTTCTGCCTATGATGGCTACTTTAGAAAATAAAATCTCACTGTAACTAAATAATGGTTAAAAGTGGGGTTTTGAGGAAGATGCTGATCACTAAATAGATAAAATCAAGCCTAGGGCTTTACAAAGCAGGCTCTCTACCAGAAATATCTAATTTTAAAATGTTTCCTCTTCAGTTTACGTATGTCACAATTGCTTGCTAATTCATTTATGAACTTGATATGACTGTCCAGAATTATGTAGTATCATTCAGTTAGTTAAAAGCATTATATCAGGACAGAATTTATAGCAATTAGCCTAGAAAATAAAGTTCACTGCTTGTACAACTTTCTCAGCGATGGAAAACTTGTGGGGGGATTCCTTTTGTTGCAGTGTCGTGAATTCTGCTGTTTGGAGCTCCAGATAGACAGAAAGAAGCGGAAGAGAAAGAAAAAGCATTCTAAACGTGAGGTTATATTACAGTACAACTTTCATAAACAAATGATTAAATGATTAAATGATTAAACAAATGATTAAATGATTAAACAAAACTTCCAGAACACGGCCAAACAGCCCGGAAAACCCACACCAGCCATCGTATGCCGGCCGTGAAAGCCTTCGACAATAAAATGATTAAAGGTTCAGGTATCAAGTCCCAAAGGCTTTATCTATAGTTGCTGGAGTACCTACTCAGGCATTTGTTGATGCAGATTTCACTGCTGTTTTCAGAGCACTATGACACACTCTGAATATCTGAAATGCCCAGATTGAAAGGACACTAAACTTGGGTTTGGTCAAGTTCAGTGTCATCAGAAGTTATATCCAGCCAAGGAAATTATGTTTCTTTTACATTCATTTTTAGAAACACTGATAATCTTACTTTTACTACAGTTTCTCAAAATGGCGCAGAGTCAAAATAATAAAATAGTCAGGAATAAGAATTTGCATTTCTAGAATGCACATTGCTCAAGATCAGCATAAAGCCAATCATGCTTTGGGAAGAAACATGGCCATGAAAGAGTTTCAAGGCATTCTCAGTTTATTTAGTTCAGAAATAAGTTTAACTTCTATGGATGTCTCTCTGGGAGAAAGCCACACTGATCCAAGTCAGGCTGTGCATAAATATTTATATCATTGAATTGTCATTTATTCATACATATCCAGACCATGTTTTCAGCAATGTTCAAGGCAGTTTACATATTTAAAAAAAAATAGTAAGACAATATGAATTGTAATCCATGTCTATAGATGGCATTGATATTTATTTGTATGGTACTACTTTGTTTTTCTTTGCACTCTCCTTTTAGAACAAGATGTTAAATGTACATTAAAAGGATCCTTTGAAGAAACCCAAAACATTTCATTAAGCTCTGCCTATGGGCTGCAATGCACTGAACCTTTCCTTTTCCACTATGCCAAGTACAACCAAGCAAAGCTGGACATTCTTCTTCCAGGAAAGAGATCATTTCTCTCTTTTGTATGTCATAGCTGAGCATGATAGTAATCTGGATAATTTTGGGAAGTCATTTTATTGGGAGAGGTATTTAAAAAGTAATCATCTTTTGTTTAAAAAAAAGCATCTTTATTTCCAGTGCTCTTGTATGTCATGTGGAACTGATGCTGCCAAAGCCAGAACATTGATCTTGCCTGTAAATTCATTTCCCATTGATGAGGAAATAATCAAAGAGGTGAGTACATGCCTAATTTTCAGAAATTTTCTTTATTTAAGGGCCCTTCAATAAATTTCCCAGGGGGCAAATAAAATGGTATGCAACTGAATCACTCTCTGGTATATTAAAGGTAGCAAACCTCAAATTACTTTGAATTAACTTCCAGTAATTTCCATAGTCTACGTAGTTTGGTAGTTTGGTATTTCCCGCTTATATTTACCCCTGCAGTTATTTTACCTGGCATCAAAATAGCACGATGCCAAAACAGCTCTTCCTGGATTATATCACAATGAATGTAAATGGGGTTTCATCAAGCATTCAAGATACTCTTCTATGGGGAAAAATCAAACATTCCCACTCTAACTCCGCCCCCCCAGAAACAAACAGTAAGGAGAACACTAGATGATACAGAAAAAAGGTACTAGCCTGGTTGATACAGTGCAGTAAGCAGTAAGATGGTATTAATGCAGGAATCACCAACTTTGGGGGGCATATTTGGAATTTTGAGAGCAGGTTATGGCACTTTCACATAATGCCAGAATGGATCTGGCCAATCACAAAGCATGCATATGTTGGCAAAACAGACAAAGGTCTGAGTGGCAGACACTCACTGTTTCATTTTCTAAGTATTCCATCTTGCTGAAGCATTGTTACAATATCAACAGCAAGTGGATATACAAATAACAAACCTGCCCAATGCCATGGTACAACTAACACAACATATGGGACAAAGGTTGCCTAGGCCAAGAGCAGTTCAACAGCCTGCAACCCAACCAATATTTCTTTGCTGTCATGGGAGTTTACCAGAGAAATTTGAAGGAGCCCAGGATCAATTTCTGACTTTCACAAATCAGTGTGAATTGTTTATGGTGGGTCAGCCAGCAGAATTTCCTATAGATTGCTCCAGAGTGATTTTTGTTCTGAGACTGCTGAAAGAAGGAAGTGACCCATTGTGTCTTCTGACTGCTAGCTGGTGTTCATGGATGCGCCCTGCTGGTCTTCTGCCTGTCTGTCCTATATAGTGGCTGTTACAGTCCTTACACTGTATATTGTAAATGACTCCTGTTTTTTCTTCTTGGGTTACTGGGTCTTTTGGTTTGCTTAAGATGTTTTGGA